TTCTCTCTCTCTCTCTCTTTCTCTCTCTCTTCTTTCTCTCTTCCTTATTCGTCCTTATTCTCCCTCTCGCGGTCTTCTTCTCTCTCTTCCTCCTTCGCCCCACGATACATCCCTATGTCCGTGAAACCTATCGCGAGTCCCGAAATGGGGATTGACGGCGGAGCCGGCTAGTGACGTCGAAATGTGTACACAAAACGGTACATGGAGAATATCGTTAATCGCAAACGACAGTGACTTTTGACCCTCTCAAAAAATTCTTTATCTTAAGGATGTTTTGTACCTATTTTTAAAATATTGAGAATTTAATGAAAATTGTACAGAATGTCCTTACATATGTTTAGAATCTTCAGTACAATTTTTAAAGCGATTCACTAAAGCGTTCACAAGTTATAAGGATTTTCATTTGCACCGAATTAACACGTGTTCTTGTGGAAAACGTATAACCACGTCGATTCAAATAACAAAAACACATGGAAATAATATTCAGAATTTGTTTAAAATTTGCAAAAGTTTAGATACAGAGGAAATATTTGGTCAAATAATATTATACAAGTACTAACTGGTTAAAAAGATATTAAATATAATTCAATCAAGTTAGTCATGCATCTGTCACAAGACGAAATTCTCTGCCAAAAGTGAATCATTTCAGTTAACAAAATTCGGAATATTTCAGTAAAAATGCAATAAATATTAAAAGATACATCTCTGCACTGTAGCTAAGATCAAATGGTAATATTCCACACAATTTCTTACTCAAAACACACCAAAAGTGGATATATTTCAATATTGATTTTCCGCTACTTTTTGCTGGAATTGTACATACAAAACATCCTTAATTTGTCGAAATGGAAATATTTGGCAAATTCAATCTTTCACGTAAGAAAAGATTCTTTCATTTCTTTTACTTTTCAACAGATTTCATACGGAAAGAAATCCTACTTTTTGCTGGGATTGTACATACAAAACATCCTTAAAGAAGAAAATAAAGATGAAAGACTTTTTCAAATTAGAATATATCAGTGTATGACATAAAGAATGCAAATTAATTTTCAAATTTGTAACATTATTCCCTCTCGTATAATGTTAAATAACCGTATTAATATATCAGAATCGATGAATCTTGTGATTAAGACGAGGAACAGGTGCGGAAACCTCGGTAATCGTGGGAAAGGAAAGGCATCGAGCGACGCGGGAAAATAAAGCTCTGCCGCGCGCTCCGCACCTTCGCGAAGTAGCCGATGGCTCGATGAGAGAGTTCTCTCGGCTAAAGTGCGGAGAAAGTGCGAGAGCCGCGCGAAAAAGCAAGCTGTTGCAAAACGTGCACAGTTTGGAATCGATTTTTACGCCCACGTAACGGCGTCGACCGCGCGCGAATTCGCGAAACTGCAGCGTGCGCGAGGCACGTCGGCCTTGGGTAATCGACTCTCCCCGCGTGCACGCGATGACACACGGGTGCGCGAATATCCCGATCGCTCATCGATACGACGGAATGAACTCCGTCCAGCATCGTCCTCGCGCGCGACGAGAGTGAAACTCCTTTGCTCACGCATGGACGAGCGATTTGAGATCCATTCGATCTAATAAACCTCGGGCCGTTGACTTTTCGCATTCCTACGAGACGAATCACGACAGCGGTTCGTCATTCGAAACGATTCCAACAGAGACCCGAAGGAGAGATACGTTTCGCGCGTAACACGTGCGTCATTTTTCTCACGACGCGGATCTGACGCACGAACACGTGCGCACGCACGCACACAGGACGCGCGGATTCGCGCGCGCACGTTGTTGCGCAGTTCGCAAAAGCGCTGGGAGGAGGAGGAGGGGGGAAGGACGCGGCGGTACACTTGGCGTGAACGAGCGCCGGTAGGGTGGATGGCCTCCTCGTCCTCCGCGCGCACTCCGCCGTCGTGCGTGTGCATCCCCAACGGGCCCCGAGCAGCCATCTCTATCGCCGGCAACGTTGTATCGCACGCGATGCGCCCACGAAACGCCACGAAGCGTCGTTCATCGCGCGCCTCACGGCAACCCTGCCTCGGCTTACTCATCCCCGCGACTCGGAAGAGCGCGCGATGATATTCGCGCGCGCGCGCGGGAGAGATGGCTCCGCCAGATTTATCCCGCGCCTCTCCCCCTTTACCTAGGCCGCGAATAAAAATACGCCGCTACCGATTTTCCCTCCCTTTGACCCTTCGCGTATCGCTGGGGTGCCTTCCAATCGAGTTTTACGATAGCGCGCTGTCTTCTGCATCGTGCGTCATGTGCAACGCGATGCGTCACATTGGGTGTCCGATACACTTGTAGATACGAGTGTGTGTGCGTGTTCTTTGTTAAAAGGATTATTTTCATTCCTCGTATCATACTTTGTCCCTTATCTTCGAACTTGTCTCCTTGCTGACCAATGCTATGTAGGTCAGACAGACGTAACAAATCTCGCGAATTTTATGAGAGATTGATTATTAATTATTATACTATGATAATGATAGAGAAGGTAATAAATTTGTGAGTTCTTTACAAAGAAGCAATTTGATACACTTTCTATAAAGAAGATACGTATCCTTATACACATTTTTAGAAAAAAAAAAAATCCAGGAGGGAAGAGAGAGAGAGAGAGAGACAAAATAGTGCTCCGATTTTGAGGTCAGTACCCGCTATCTTTGAGTTCATTACAAAGAAGCAATTTGATACACCTTCTATAAAGAAGATACGTATCCTTATATACATTTTTGGAGAAAAACAAATCCAGGAAGGAAGAGAGAGAGAGAGAGAGAGAGAGACAAAATAGTGCTCCGATTTTGAGATCAGTGCCCGCTATCTTACGCACATAAAGACTCGCCAGGACGCATGGTGCCCTCTAGACTAATGCTATCGGAATTACCCCGTCGTATTCTAAAGGTCGTAAAAGGGGGGAAAGGGGGAGAAAAGGGAAGGATAGGGGGAAGGACTGCTGCGAAGTTCTCCGGAGCACGCCAAACCAAGTTGCCGAGGCAAAGGGAAAGACAGAGAGAGATGGCGGGAGAGCATTGCCTGCCGACCGGCGTAGAAGGTCTGTGACCTCGGCAGTGGCTGCGCCACGCCGTGCGCCGTGTGTACCCGGCGTGTACCGTTTCGGAGATGATGTCACTGTCACCCTACCGTGGTTTTTGCCAGTCGTCGCGAAGCGCCTCTCTCCATTCTCACCTGTCAGTCGCGTCTTTCAATCGAGCGCGACATCGATACGCTCTTATCGGTGCGCGCGCGCGTGCCTCGCGCTCTTGGCTCGTTTACCCTTTTGTCGGCCGCGTCACCCGGTATAATCTCGCGCGGTACACGACACGGTGTATTCCCGTTTCAGAGCTGATGTCACTGCACCTATCGAGGCCCTTGAAACCCGCCGAGTTGCCTCCTGCCGAACGACTCGTGTCCTCGCGTTTATCGCGTCTCGCCTTTTTTTTAGACGCGCGTCGATACACGCGCGGACACTTATCAGCCCCATCGTCGTTATCTTTTCTATCCGATACGCCGCGTGGAAAGGGAGGCGGACGCGTAAGTCGAGCCGCGCGGATTTCAGCGGCGACGATTGCGCGCTTTCCCAGATGGTACCTCGAATGTAAACTCACTCGTAAATATTCATGCATTCATTAGCTAGATTGAACGATCGACTGCGCGCGAATACGTACTTCGAGAGATATATGTATTTTCGCCATAGATTTATAATCCGTACCTCGAAGAAATATTCCCTTCATTAAGGCGCATTAAGGAGATTGTCTTGAATTCGTTTGCGTTGAAAAATATCCGCGTTGCATACCGGCCGATATAAAAAGTTAATTAGCGGCGTATTAATAAATGATTAGTCCTACACACATATATCTTTAAATTACATTAATTGTCAAATTCATGAATCCCGAAGCCGGTAGGGAATATAATCTTGAGAAAATCAGTCTTTGAAAAATACGAAATTCTATATCGAATCATTATAAAAATAGCGATTAATTATTTATAATATTATTGCTAGTTGCAATTGCTGCCGCCGAGGATGCGATTGACCGATTTCAGCTGATCCGTTCATCGAGAGAATAAAAGACCCACGTGCGATCTCTCGGATAGAAAATGATGAGATGCACACGGAACCTTTCGCGCTCGAAAATGTCAATTCCCTCCCCGTTCCTCGCGCATTCTTGGAGGCACGCGATCATCGGGTACCGCGTGGTCCACGCGCGAGAGGGACTTGTAATCCTCGCTCTCTCTCCTGGATCAATACCACGTGACCGGTGCGGCGCCGGCGGCCAGCCGATGTAAACAAAGAAACGTGCGCGCGGCGAGGCTGCCGCGCGCATCGATTTTCCTCTCCGGCTGCTTGGCTTGGCTTGGCTTGGCTTGGCTTAGCTTGACGTGACTTGGACGCAGGACCGTCTTCTTAAGACACTTGTCTGATTAGTCACATCACATGACATCCAATCGTTCGAACAAATGTAATGTAAAGTTCTCTGTTCGAAAATAATGAAAACATGAAAGATAGAGATTCGAGATGTCAAAGAGGACCGACATTAATTTATGATGTATGCCAACAAGGCTGTTTTGCACACAATAATAATATTCTAGCGATATGAACGATATAAGCGAATATAGGTAACTTAAAGAGAGCGTTTACTATTTTAATCATTTCAATAACAAAATGAAGAGAGAATTTTGAGAACTTATTTTGTATTAAATAAATCAAGAAAAAGTCGTGGCGTTTCAGAGGACGAACGACTGTCGTCCATTCAATTTAAATTACAACAGCCCTTCGTCAACTCGCGCCCACGCGAGAGTTGCGTTATGACGCGCCGATTGGTGTAGAGAATGACGTAAAACGGGATTGTGTGCAAAAGCGTGGTTGTTTCCGTTACTCTCTGCTTGTTTCGTCAAATACTCTCGCAATCAGACATATAAATCTGCCCCTAATTCGTCCGTTCATTCCTAACACATCGCTCTTTCTTCATCTTATTGATGATTATTAACGATTGTCATCTTTCTATTTGCAGGCAAATGCAGCGGTGGTCTTTAAGTGCGCTTGGCCAGGCTGCTTGGAAATCAAAGCGACCGTCGTGCTCATCGAAGAACATGTACGCCAATCACATCTGGGGTAAGCTAATACCCTAGATATAATACTCTTAGCGCGTCAAATGCGTTATCTTACTTTACGAAGATGAAGTGAAAGTGCACTCAAGCTGGTCTCAGGCGAAAAAAATCGTTGACATTATAATGGTACGATAGTATTAGTGTCCTCCAATAAAGTGCAGCTCTTTTAAGAGCTTAGCTTGTAACGTATTATTTTATTTTCGAGCACTATTAATGATGAATAAGATTATTATATCGTGTGAATAACATATATGTAACATTCGCAAATGAAGATTTGATGTATGCTCTTCGCGATTTTAATCCTTCTCAATCAACAGATTTACCTACAAAATAACACGTGAATCAAAATAGTGATTTGTTTTGCAGTCCAAAAAAGTCAAAGGGATGCGACGAGGACATGTCCGTTCACGAGGAAGACGATATGTCCGTTCACGAGGAGGAATTTTATTACCAAGAAGTTGCTGTGGATCACATGAGCTCGCCTCCCACAATGTCTCATCGGGATATGGCGAGACCGCCGCACGAGGATCCAGAGTATCAGAAGCAGCTTCGTCTTGAAGCGGCTCCTACCACGAGTAACTACATCGAGAACGTGATAGTTGGTGTCAGGGAACCAAACAGCGCGTTTACGATCTCACAATCGCCGGTGGGTAATCGCGCATCGACCTATAAACCATCGAATCACACGATCTTTTGACATGTGTTTCCTCTTTCTATTTCAGGGTACGCCCAACAAGCACATCAAACTGTCCCCGCGGCCATTGCAAGCGTGTCACCAACAAAACATGACAGCGTCCACGGGCAAGCCGTCCTCCCCGCGACGAACGCGCAGCGATGTTAAAAAGTGTCGCAAGATCTACGGTATGGATGCACGCGACCTTTGGTGTACTCAGTGCAGGTGGAAGAAAGCCTGCACCCGTTTTTGCAGCGAATAGGCCAAGCGTCCGCCCCGTTCGTACGTCCGTGGGCGGAAACCCTTGTCAAATCGACCTCAGAGTTTGCCAATGCTACGTTGAACATTAACATCAACTGCCAAATACCAATCATCGTCGAAGAAAGCGAAGCGTTGAAAAGGCTTTCACGATCTGGAACACGAGGCCGCCCCCGTTATTGCCGATTGTTGTAGCGAAAACGTTATATCCTGTAGGATATTACTTCACCAGTACCACTCATAAGAAAGCAAAGCTCATCAAATAAGCACCTCTTCCTCTTGTTTTCCATTTTGTTTTCCGTCGTCGGGACGACAAACACCAGTTTTGGAAAACGTAAACGTCACTCTACAATGATTGGCGGGTGGTTCTGAGGGCTGATATTCGTGTATGAAGTAACATCTTTCTCAGTCTAATTAACTCGTAGAGGGAATTCACGATGAAAGGTTTATCTGAACGATTTCTGCCCGTTCGTATTTTGCATTTGGCAAACTCCGACCGAATCCCTTAGCCGTAACGAGGGACTTTTCGATTAATAGGTAGCGAATAATTGGCGTGCGGAGCGAGGCAATTTTAGACTGTTGCATTCTTTGCGTTCTCAGAAGAGAACGCGAAACACGGCCTCGCTCCCAACTTCGCCCGACAATGAGAACCTTTTGGTTCGATACGTATTATACGAGATACGCACTCGGAGTGAGCATGCATGTTCTTCGAAGCGTCGTTTCCCGAATCGTTTCTTAGATCACTGCAATAGATCTTCCTTCTTCCGCCAAGAGCGCGATCGTGACGCGCTCTCGGTAATGACGGAACTAGAGGCGTCGAGCCTCAGGGATGCCGATCCCTGGGGAACGATCGAATCTAACGGACGAAGGAAAGACCGGCGAATCGATGTTCGGTCTGACCGATGTTCAATGCTAAACGAACGCAGACAGGCAAGTTAAAGAGTGTCGCGTGAAAAAAATAAAGCTACTATTTGTGATATTGTATCTAAATTTATTGAATCTGTGCCGCGAATCGAACAGGAAAGCGCAAGGATGGGTAAAGGCGTAAAGAAATGAGAAAAAAAAGAGAAACAAAATTTTATACACCAATTATACTGCCAGATAAATAATTCAAAAATTGTTGTTCAAACCTCTCTCGCACGTTAGAGAGGCATTATATGTTGCACGGCATGCGTCGCCGTATACCGGGCTTAGCCTTGTTAGCCTTCCGACGACCTAAGACCGTGTTCGCCAACAAAGGAGCTGCACGCGCATATTGGGGTAGGCTACGCAGTTGAATCGATCGATCTATTAAGATCTAGCGAAGGTCTCGCTCTAGATGACACATTCACGCAACGACACACACACACACACACACACACACAAACACATAATTGCGCGCGCAAAGAACAATGTGACATCATATTTTTGCGTACAGCCTACATCATTTCTTATACTCCTTTCTCGCTTTGGGCCATTCGCGGAACGATTTATTCATTTGAATATTATTTTAACGATTATTTTGAAATGTATATTTGATCTCGATAATATTTCTAATATACTAATATCCAATAGACATTTACAAATTTTATATATTGACGAATTTAATGAAACAATTTTTGCAAATAAATGACATGTTTTCAAAGAATTCGACATCGCTTAGACTCATCCTTACAGCTGTATTAAATTATAATGTCAGAAACAAAAACTTATATGAATCATTTTTCTTGTATGTATAAAACAAAATTTTCTTCGTATATCAGAAATTATAATCCCATATACAATGAAACAGATTTATTAGAAATTTTCTTTGTATTTATTCCTCGTTAATAAATGAATAATTTAATTTTCACATGTCCTTTTGATAAAACTATACTTTTAATAAAAATGGATGTATAATCGATAATTACAATATAATAGATAATTATTTATAATCACTTATTTGTTAATGATATACGATGAGGAAATTTCATTTATTTACACTATAAGATAAACTTTATTATTTATCAAATTATAATTATCCATTAATTTATAATTATATTTATATTTCTAAATATAAAAATAATATATTATTTTTATAAAATAAAATATTAAAATTAATATATTATTAATATATTATTACTAATATATTAATAAGATAAACTTTTATATATTAATTATATAAATTTTTTATATATTATTTATATAAGTATTATATTATTTATATTGACGATATGAAAAAATTTCAACATACGAGATAATATTTGTATAATTTTTCACTTCTGACATTATAATCTAATACAGTTGCAAGATAAAAAGCAAATTTTTAAAGTTTTAATGCAATAAATAATCGAAGTATTTCATATTTGATGGAAGAAAATCGCGGTGAGATAGATGTCGCATTAAATACTATATTAAATGGTTAAAAATAATTAAAAGCGACACGCATACACTCGCCACAATAAAAATTTCTTCCAATTTCCCGATCGTTGTTTATACTTTAGTATAATTATCTTGTATATTACATCTTATGTATATTATGTGTATTATCTTGTATATTTCAACCCTCGTTTTATATAATTATTGAATTTAATGTGCTAAGGATTAGTATATTAATATTGTTTATTAACGTCTCACGGGATTTAGATTTTATCAGCATAATGAAACATCATTTCTATTGACAAAACTCAAATTATGATTTGAGAATATAACTCGAAAAGAAATGAATAATTCTCGTAAAGGAATCGGTGCCTTTGTGTTCAAAATCATAAGCATCGCGTTTGTCAGTATTTTTCGATTTTTTAATCAATATATCATTGCATCTATATTTAAAAAAGAAATCGCTCTGAAGTCGTTAAAAAAATTATCAATAACAGCGATTGTGTTATTTAACACGTAATGTTGTCGTCGCACAGAAAAAAAATTAATTTTTTTGTCTCTCTAAATTCGCTGTATATTATAAAACACGGCTAATTATATCGAACTGTGCATTTTCTCGAATCTTACCGCGTTTTAGACTTTATAAAATAATATTCACAATTGAAAATTATTACAGCGAGCACTAATGCACTGTTGAGAGTGCTGATCATGTTAAAAAATTTTACACAGCATAATATTCACAATGATAGACAGAGAATCATGTACATAAAATACTCGCAAAATAAAACGTTAACATACAAGTACAGATAGCATAGAAAGTAATTGCCGTCCATGTAGGTTCCCTCCTGCGATCAAAATTGTTATGCTCGATTAGTCGACAGTCTTACCAAGGACAATATTTAAACGGAAACTGCTAAAGAGAAAGAGTGATACTATCACTTAATACTTAGTTATTAGCATAATTTTTCCGTCGTGGTTTTACTCTGTGCAATCTGTACACATGTAATGCATATAATGTTAAAAAAGTGCGGCGGTAACATTGAAGTTTATAATATTGAAAAGAAATTGTTTTTAAGGTTTTACACAGTTTTTATCGAAGAAAATTTTTTAAAGATATTATTTAAAAAAATTTTTTAAAGTTCTATGTAGCGTTGTTTCATTGACAGAAATATTTGTTGAGGTAATTTTGCTGATCTAATTCTTTAAATTTTATCATTTTTATTTATTTTTATTCATATTTTTGACTGTACATTTTGGGTCATGTATATCTTTACATCCGTTGCTGAGCATTTCTTAATTAAGTGCATCATATACAATGCATCGTGACTCAGAGTTGTATCTAATAATCTGACATCTGCGTGAAAGATTAAATCTAGCATTAAAAAATAAACTACTAAATTATAAATATGAACTATTGGTATAAAGAGATAATTTTGGAATTTTTAAATCAATAATCACAAACATACACAAAATATTCGGATACAATGTGTGAAAATTAAAAAGTACCAGAATTTCAGATGCAAAGGCATATGTGACACTGAATGTAGACGGATATTGAGAGAACATTGAAGCAAGAATCAATCGCCAATTTAAACCATTGACGAAACGACAAATAATAACGCATTATATCTAATATATTTCGCAGTAATAATAATACAGTCTTTTAGCTGTTCGTTTAAGGCTCCAACTTCGGGTAAAAATGCGGCACGGTGCGAAATCGCTACGCGTAAACTTGTATCTGTCACACATTTGGCAATAAATTCCCGATGGGCTCGGAGAAGTTTGTATATGATTCATTGCTGATCCCCGTGCACAATGATAGCTAGAGCCGACAGCTAGCCGTGTTAGAAACTCTCTCGACGGGTGTCGCGTTGAAGAGAATTTTGGCGGATACCTTACGTGGGATGGCACTTCGCAAATGTAAACAAAAGTACAAGTTCTTATTAACTGTGCCATTACGTATGCCAAATATTCTCTAATAAAAAAAAAAACGAGTGAGAAAGGAAAAACTCTAGAGAAGAAAGGGAAATCTTACGAGCGAAGTAAGGGAGGAAGGATGGAATATGCAAAGTTTCAAACATTCGTAACGAAAGCTTTACAGACTTAAAGATATCTCAGGTTTATTTCATACGAATACGTATCAACATACATTGTTGTCCCGTTCGAAGCGATCGATCGATCGATCGAAATACTTTTTTGTATCATTCTCATGCTCGATCAGCAAAAATATCGCTGTTAACCCATCGCTTCGAGCCGGACGACCGACTGATGAACATTGAACGTTACAAAGTGTAATATGTATTCTTCTTGCAATGTTAACGTCAATATTATTTAGTCAAATTTCCTCCCGTTGCAGCGGCTTGGGACACTGTATAATATACATAGAATCGCATTTAATCGGCAGCCTGAAGATTTTCGAGATCGCGTCGTGGTCCTATTACCACGTACAGCCTAAGCTAGATATTCCCCGTCAGCGATAAGCAACAGAGATCCCCCAGCGCGAAATATCTATTTGCAAAGTATTCTCGATCATCGCCGGCTCTCTCGAAACCGTTCACGTTCACGGGTGCTCAGGGGCTGGGAGGAGAGAGAGAGAGAGAGAGAGAGAGAGAGAGAGGAGGAAACCGCCGATACCTTGTTGAGTTGTGAACGTGCATCTCATTTGAAGCCAGTCACTGCACATATATTTATGCGTTCGCGGTATAATCTCATTCGGGGATTCAGATTATAACCGGACTTTCGATCGATTCGACAGGCGGGCCAGTTACGTGAGCGATCAGGAGGTTTGGTAGTCCCGTTATTCGCGGGGCCCCATCGGGGAAGACGATCGCTCCTCGGGATTAATATCGGGAGCTCTGTCCAGCACGTTTGCCGAGATGCCGAAAGAAGGATTGTGTTTCGCGGATTAAAAGCTAATGGCCGGGATTATCATACCAAAACGATCTCATATCGATTTAATGAACTGTAATTTTCATCAGTATGTACGGCCGAGCCATTCAGAAACGAGCGGCGGACCGTCGCTGTATTGGCAGATTTTATCGCGATGAAAATGTTGTTAATAACGCGAACGATAGAATCTGACGATGCGCGACGCGGGAGAGAACGTGAGGTGTTTATATGAAAAATGATTCTTTCAAATCGTAATGTTTTTTTTTTTGCTCGGCCGACCGTACAACGTAAAGACATATTATTATTATAATATATTATATTATATTATATATATTATATATTATTATATATTATATATTATATTATATATGATTACATTATTATATTATTATCATTATTAATTTTTATTAATTATTATTATTCATCGTCGTCGTCATTTTAACACTATTATATACTAGCGTCACTCATAGTACGTTAAGTAATATTGTTAAAGAGCGAAATCTTTATTAATATTATTACGTTAGGTGGATCGTTAATATTACCCTGCGTTAAAGAGGGTATTTTAAGAGAAGGATCGCGCGCGTTCGAAGAGTGATTCAAAAACATCGAGCAGACCATGAGATTAGAACAATCTCGCAAGACGTGCAACCAGCGACTCTATCATTCTTATATCCGTATATCGCTGCAAACAAGCTTCTATTTATCAATAATGCGTATAGTTATAAATGCTGTGATTATGTCGCATTATTTGACACTCTCGATTATTCTGACTGAAAAATTACGATGTGCAACGTTAATTACATTTGAGTGTAAATCTTATCGTTAAGACATCGTAATAAAGGTATCTAACAAAACCATATATCAAGTTATTGTGTGATTTATCTCACCGTGTATATATATATATATATATATATATATATATATATATATATTCTTTTTTTTCTCATAAGACACGCATTCTCAAACGTGTAAAGTAAATATATAAAGAAATTTTCTACAAAAATTGTGATATATGTAAAAAGATCACGCATAATTTATATATATATATAATATAATATATGTTACAAATTTAATGTTAATCTTATCTTTAAGAATCTATTTTATTTATTTATGCGCGTATACATTTGTTTCACTCTTTCATGGATATAATTGAGATTTAATAAGTGCGAGAAATTTGTGAAATTTAGATATGATAATACTTAATTTGCGCTAACCGTAAAATCATAAGAGATTAAATATCGGATCCTATTAAATTTCTCATAGATATATTATGACGCTGTTTAGTAGACGTCAAATCTTTAATAACGCAAACACAATCGGTAAGAATGATACACTATTATAAGTCACGTTTGATAATAAGTACTTGATGTTTTTCAGAGATACGCGCTGTGAGATCTCACAGTACTATTGCTCAATGCATATTCACTTGCGGTAGACTTGCGTCTGTCACACAGATATCACCAAAAAGTAGTTCATATTCGTCGCCGGTCGGTACTTCGGTACTTATGCGATAATGAGACATAATCGCAGCTTCATTCTCGCCGCATAACTTTTACATAACTAGATCTGTATATAGCGTAGCTAATTCGAACACACTTATATTTATGCGACAAAAAAGAAAAGAAAATATTTCAGACATCCAGGTTGTAGTGATTATATAATCCGAATAAATTCTCAATTATAAACTATCCGCTGGATATATGTATATGTATCCTGAAAAAAAAGCAAAGTCTAACGACGACATGCCGAATCAGATTTACAGATCGTATATACTTTCGTAAATGTTTCTATACAATTTATAAGAGAAAGCACAAAAGAAAAAAAGAAAACAGGCGCAGAGATCACTCGCTAATAAATGCATATCTTGCGGATATAGAGACACTCGTTATTGAATCAAATGTACTTCGGAAGCATAAACGCATCGCGACCGTACTTTTATAGCAGAGATGCCTGTTGGATCACTATACTGCCGAATCTTTGTATTTTATCCGTTCGTCGAAGTTCTTCTTTGTCGTATTTGTAAATCGCGCAGAACGTAGCGCGGCAACGAAGTAACTTGCAATCAATGCCGACGATAGTAATATAAAAAAAACAGATACATACAAATATATATATATATATATATATATATATATATATATATATATAACATATATAATATATAATATATAATATACATATATAATATATAATATTTATATATATATTATATATATTTATATAATATTTATATATTTATATAATATAATATATTATAATATAATATAATATAATATTATATAATATATATAATATATATAATATATATAATATAATATATATATAATATAATATTTATATATATGTTATATATATCTATATATTATATATATATATATATATATATATATATATATGTACACACACACATGCGATAACTCAGAACGAAGGATAAAATCGTATTCCTGTATAGTGTCGATGTCGAGTCGAATTTGTGCCGCGGTGAGACGCGACCCAAGTTCTTGCGAAGGAATTTTAGAAAAGTTGAATGACTGTCCCTACTTAGTTAATCTATCGCGACGCGAGTCAATCGTATCGCCAGACGTTTAAAAACATAGTAGCATCTTAACACATGTTATAATACGAATACATAGCGAATAATAGGAAGAAGAGGCGCGTGAAGCGCGCTACGCGAAAAAGATTGTAACGCTGTAAATTGCCTTTTGTGCGCAAAACACTGGCATTCTGATGCATAAGATTAAGCCGATAAAATGTGAATTGTCACCGTAGCCGGCTGTAGGTCGGAAAACCGCATAATTGCACCGCTGTTATTGGATAGAGAACGTACACAGCTAAAAATTCATGTATATAATGCAAGTAGTACTACAAATTCACATACACACGGTGTAAAGTGGTTGCGCAAGCTCCTTAGAAACCCCAAATTTGATATTTTTTCGCCGTACATGCATCGAGAGAATACGCATTGTGCAATACAATGTGTGTGAATTATAGTTAGGATCATGATCATGAGAAATTCGCGGAAATTTACGTGCTGATGTATCGATTCCTAATCTTGAACAAAAAATTTAATATCGATTTTCCCCCAAACTTTTTTTTACAAAAAGAAATTGGTAAGATTATTGACATCTGATCATTTATCCTAAAGAGCACCATGCGAGTTAATATTATTATATGGACAAGAAATGTAAAATACAAGGAATGAAAAACAAACTTGAAAAATTTTTAAATGATATTTAAATAATGATTTTTCATAGATTGGGAATCCTACATTTCGCAGTATAGATTTTCGTTGATTTCTCTTAATATAGTTATTTTTTTGCGAAACAGTTACGTCGCTGGTAGCACTTACGATCGTCCCAACTACGTATACTCGTACGTGACAATAGAATATTTACCGCCGATGAACGTTAAAAATCTGTTTACCTTTCAATTGTCAGCGAATGGTTTCATTAATTTTGCTGAGTCTCGACATACTCTTTCGACGATGAATATTTAAGATTTTCATGAACGAGTAAAAGAGAGAGAGAAATAAAGTAACACAACTTTTGTCTGCGTCTCAGAGGCGGATGAATATTCTGAGCTAGATAATGATTATATAGTTTCATTAAACAATAAAAGATACTTTGTATTTTTTTCGGAGAATGTCCTTCTGTCTATGCTATAAGAATCATTATCGCCAAGCAACTTTTCGTAATAAAATTCATGCGAAGGTCAATACAAGTTGAATCAATCATTTCCTATATTATTTATATTTTAAAACCAATTCTTTTATTGTTCTTGCAACATATATTCCTGCTCTCCTAATCTGCTGCATCCCTTTTTATGTAAATCTTAAATTATAATGAGTTCTATAATTAAAAGTCATGTATGAAAAAATGCTACCATTCATATCAAGTTTTTAGGATTTTTATTTTCTTACTTTAATTTCCTATATATATCTTTAATATTTTTCAATCCTATTCATAGTTAAAAATCATATTTTTGTACGCATTCATCAATATCTCAAAGAAAATTTAAAGAAATCATTAATAAAGAAATTACATATTGAAATATATATACAATTATTGGAATATTTCATCATGTTTTTATGATGTTATTTAGAATTTCAATAAATTAATCAATAATTTCTAATATGAATGAACTGCTTCTGCGCTATCTTTTACTTCTTCATATATTCTATGACACCTTTTTCCCCTTTTTAACTATCTTTTTTTTCTTCATTTTCTATCATTATGTTCACCTCTGCAAAGCAGTAAGGACTTGATCAATATCTTTCAAATTTTCCTCATATATTTCTACTGTAAATTCATAATCTTTCTATTATATATTTGCTCAAAAAAATCGGCTTTTGATCCTCCATTATTTACCAATCCTATTTTTATTTTTTTATCTTTTTAATCCCACAATTCGATTTAATCTTATCTTTCTTTTACTAAACTTTTACTTTAAATCTTTCACTAAACTTGTAATGATAATACAATGTGTGATTTTATAATATTACATCATTTCACTAATATTTACATTTCAAGCACATGATATAACTGACTATTATTTTTTTTTATTGCATAGAAAATTTAATTATATATAAATTTCAAAAAATTTGAGGCAAATTACAGACTTTTATTTATTTCGAAATAAATTTAAAAATTGTGATAAAACGTGTGTACCTGTTCCAGGCGTAACCTCTGTCAACGATCACGTTCTTCTTGATTTAAATCCGACAGTATCATTTCTCTCATGGTATATATTTTACAGGATTTTCGCTCACAGTAACGTATATTGACATATTTCATAAAAAGAATGTTATACCTATACGAACTTTTATTAATGTTTATCTTTGTATATAGTTTAACTCAAATTTAAAATGACAGGAACGGCCATTCTGGTTGTTGACATAGTGCCGGCAATTCAAAAATAACAAATATCCTTAGATTCTGGGGATATTTGTTGTTTTCGAATTGCCGGCACTAAGTCAACAACCAGAATGGCCGTTCCTGCCGTTCCTGTCATTTTAAATTTGAGTTAAACTATATACAAAGCTAAACATTAATAAAAGCTTGTATAGGTTTAACACTCCTTCTATGAAATATGTCAATACACGTTACTGTGAGCGGAAATCCTGTAAATATATGCCGTGGGAGAATGGTCCTGTCGGACCTAGATCAAATCAAGAAGAACGAACGTGATCGTCGACGGAGGTTACGCCTGGAGCAGGTATACTACACATGTTTTATCGAAATTTTTTAATTTATTCCGATTCGAAAATGCATATGAGATATGAATCTATAATTTGCCTCAAATTTTTTGAAATCTGTAAAATTGGATCGAATTTTCTATGTAATAGTAGTAGTCAGTTATAGTGTGCGCTTGAGTATTAGTGAAATAATATAAAATTATGAAATGATACATTATATTACTATTATAGGTTCGGCAACAGTCAAAGGAAATATCAAATCGAATTGTAGAACGTGCTAAAAAGATAAAAAGAGGATTGGAAAAAGATGGGAGATCAGAATTCGAGCAGATGCAAGATAGAAAGATTATGGATTTACAACAGAAATATGAGGAAGACTTGGAAGATATTGGTCAAGCTCATGCCCTTGCTGCTTTGCAACCAGATGTGAATATAATAATAGAAGAAGAGGAAAGAAAAGATAGAGCTATGGCCTTAAAAAGAGGAAAAGATGCCGTAGAACGTATGAAAGAAGCAAAACAAAAAGATAGCGCAGAAGTAGCTCATCAAGAAAGATTACGTAAAGTGCGAGAGGTAGAAAATGCAAGAGCTGCAATGGTAGCTAAACTTCCTAAGTCAAAGCCTCTATCACCTGAGGAACATAAAAGAACGGAAACAAATTCTTCCCAAGAAGATAGAAATGAAGAAATTATTCATGAAACATTATCTCCAAAGAGAAAGAGTAAAAAGGTCTTACCAAGAAAGTCACCCAGAGTGAAGAAATCTACTTTAAAAGAGCATGACAAAATATCATCACCGAAATCAGGCCCATCAGGATTGCAAAAGCAATCTGCCATGCAATCTTATAAAACATCATCAAGAAAGAAAGACAAAGTTGATCACATTGAATATATTACCGATATAAGTGATGATCAACTACCACGAAAAACAATACCAGTTATAAGCACTACTCCAACTGAGGCTGAAAAAATAGCAAGATATAATCCAGAAGATTATACACAAATTATGTCAGATAGTGCAAGTATCAGCAGTAGTAGTTCCAACTCGACTAGCGACGATTCGTCATATTTTTCTGATGTCACAGAACAAATTACATGTATCAGAACTCCAAAGACATCTTTAACAGACAACAAAGTACGATTATATGATCACAATATGCGTCAAAGAAATGTTTACAGTAGGCCTCCTGGTATGGTTGAAAGAATCGATATTGGAAGCGAGCCAAATGCAATAGAAGCAGCACAAGCGATAAAAGATGGGGAGAATGTAAAAACATACATATCCGAAAGCCGTAAATTAAATGCCCAGCGTCGCGGTGAGGATGCGATTTTGCGAGAAAAAGTACGGAGAGATTATCAGGCACTCATACGGAATCTAGATCATCTTGCACAAGAAGAGCGTAGATTAAAAGCTAGTCAAATTCAATCTGCTGAAGAAAATACGCACACCCGACTATATCAAAGAAATAAATGTCAAGAGGAGCATCAAAAAAAGTTGAATCGCGCAGCCAAAAAAATTTTTACAGATAGTGAACCGACTCATCTCACGAAAAGAATAATCACTTTACCGACGCAAAAGAAAGATAATGCTGTACCTCATTCCACATGGCAAGAACCTCGTCCCGTTGATGACGAGACAGATGTTTGTCACACACAACGGGATAAAGATAGCGAAATGTCGCGGGAGGAACAGATATTGGATATGCTGAAAAAGGTCGAAAGACAAAAAAGATTACTGCTACAGGAATTTGGTGCAAGTTTGCCAGATGATATATTTAATATCAGTACGAGGCCGGTTTTTGAAGATAGAATACAGACAAAAGCATCGAAAGCTGCCAAGCCTTTATCACCTGAAATTAAAGTTATAAATATGTCTAATGATAATAGCAACGAATGTGTAAAGAAAAAGGTGAGAAAACCAGTTAAATCGCCTGCAAAGAAAATTGAAATTGCTGTACAGGCAGAATTAGACAAAGCTGGTGCTCCTGCAGAGAATAAAAGTATACAAGTAGAGTTGCCTCAGAAAGAGACAGATATATCTGTTCCCAGTAGAGATACAACTACACGAATACCTCATCCGCTTGAACCAAAAATTACTATCATCACGCCAGAGACAGATGATAGTAGTAACGATTCAACAAGTTCTGAAATTAGCGGGATGGTCATTGAAATCGACAAGAAAGAAGTGGTTGTGACACCTAAAAGAAGAAAAAGCAGCGTACGAATATCGAAGCGACCATCGCCTCGGGTTTATCAGAAGATTCGCTCAACGTCCGTCAGTTCTAAAGCAACATCGCCCATGAAGAGATTCTCAAGATCTCAGTCAAATATTCGTCTGACTAGTCCTCAAAAGAAGACAAAATGTTCGGATGCGCAGGTGGATACAGCCAGTAGAAAAATCGACATACATGTTAGTAAGTCTGCATTCACCGATGACACAGATCCATCGCAGGAAACGAGAGTATCGATAGACGCCAGTGCGGAAAGCTCGCAAACGTTTTCAGGGGTGAACGATCAAGAACAAACTTCAGGTCAACCATATCGGATTCGCACGCAAATGAAAAGGTGGATTCGAATAAAGGATACATCTGATACTACTTCGACATCGTTCGCAAGTCCACCACCAATAAAGCCTAAAACAATGTTTGACGCTTTAACCAACGTTACACCAATTTTGGAGATGTTAGATACTCCAAGACCCGAAGAATTGAGAAGATTACAACAAGAAATCAGTCCAGTTTCCACACCGGAAACCCCTTCGCCGCGTACAATGATGATGCCGTCGAATATTCCACATCGCGATAGAATCAGCAGAGTGCTTAGATACAATATGAATGATTCACAAATCAATGATAGTACTATAATTTCATCGGTCCAAAACGATCAGTCTACGTTAACAGAGCCATCGGATAATTGTCAGCGGAAGTCTGCAGTATCGGAACGCTTATTTATTCCTACGGAACAGCCACCGTCATCGAAAGTCTGTACATGCAAAAATCCCGAATGTAAACTGTTACATATGAAACTCGATGATATTCACGACTATGCCCTGAAAAATTGCCCTGAAATATTACAAAAATACGAAGATCTACAGAACTTGTGCGCAGAAAGAATAGCATCTTTAACTGATCTCATCGAAAAAGTACGAAACGAACAGAAAGGTAAAGCATTATTAACAAATTAATTTCATAATTATTCAGTTTTAATTATCTGCAATACAAACATTCTTATATTGTTGTAGATGAAATTCAATTAATTATTTTGAATAATTAACTATTGCTATGAAATAACATATTGAATTATGTATCACATTGAATGTATTAATAGATTATTGTTTTCGAGTAGTTTAAAATAATACCATATATATTTATTGCAGGTATGGATCTTTCGCTAATCAGCCCAAGCGATGAAACTAGCTTAATGCAACTACCTACATTAAGACCGATACGTGAAGATGCTCGAACAGTGCATAGACTGATTGAGAGTATAGAAGCAATTCATGCCCAACTTGCAAGAACTCTCCTTGAATCGCAAAGAATCATAGGAAGCGAAGCAATTCCAAGAGATGAATCTACAATCTGTGATGCGGAAATTCAAGCAATCACTTCTACTCCCAGAAGTAAATCAATAGATACAGTTAAAGCACATATACAGAAATCTGAAGTAGTAGAAAGCAAAGCTAAGCCAAAGATTATAAGCAATGAGAGAGTTAATATACAACTTAATCGATTTAAAATACAGCAACGATCTCAGGCAACGTCAACAACAAAAACGTCAGATCGTAACTCTTGGCCTCCATGTACATTTTCTCCTCATGAAAAAGAAGTAATTGAAAAATTGTCGAAAGAAATTTTGGAGCAAAGTAAAAATATGGAGAAGCCAACCATTGCTTCAAAAGAGGCTGATGAAATTTCTATGCAACATAAAATGCCTCTTAAGAATATTAATCTTAAAAATAACACTTTAGAACATGAAAAGGACAATAGTATTATAAAAGAAATTACATCTACTCAAGAGGTAAATAATATATTTTTATTTATGTGTATACTACAAACTTAAATGTAAAAATTTATTTACTTGAAACACACAAATATAAAAAAAAGAAAAGATATATATATATATATATATATATATATATATATATATATATGTCTAACTACCACACACACAGTTTGTTAATACATATTAAATCTTTAAAGAAATAATCTGACAAACAGAATACGATTTAATACTATTTATAGCCAAACAATTTTAATATATAACTATTATTTTACATATATATAAATATTGTTATATGTATATTTTTAGGCAACAAAAGAAAATGATTTTATTCCCATATTAGCCGGCATTCCCAAAATATCACGCAATCATGGAAATATGACATCAATAAGTGCAAGATCTAAGCCTCCTGTTACATTGTTAAATGGACCATATAGGTAAATCTAATAATTCTAATGTAAATGTTTTAATTATATTTTTGTTTTAAATTAATTATATTTCATGAGTTATTTTTTTATATTTTAATCCAAATATAGGCCGGAATTAGAATCATCGGGACATGAATTGTCAACGATAGTGGAATTTGATACAACAGATACAGCTAATAAAAGCATCAAAAGCCCAGCAAAATCTAAACCATCGGTGCATGTAGCTCCTTTATCTGTTCAACAGAATGAATATTCTTCGAAAAAATCACCAACATCTAGCATGAAACATCCCGAAAAACTAGTTTCTGCACAAAGATCACAGAAAACTATCTCTAAGTCTCCTGAAAAACTAAAAAGTACAACTGATGGTACAACTGATGGTACAGCAATAAAAACTGAAACCGAGCAGGAACATATGCTCGAAAAATGTAATAAACAATTACAATGTAACACAACCACTGAAGAACCTATATCTCAAGCAAAAGATAAATTCGGTTCGTCTATAAGTACCGATTTTAATAATCCACATAAAGACAGTAAACATAAAACAACATCTACTAGCTTATATAGTTTTTCCGGATTGTCTGGCATTTCCGAAATAACGAGTTCTCCGTCGTCAGATATTTTGAAGCATGCTTCATCTCCAGAAGAAATGGAAACTGCTTTGAAGAAATTAGGTTTGGGCTGGGCTGTTACAACACTAAAGAAAACTCGAGAAGCAAGTGCTCTTAGTTCATCTTCAAATTCGGATGTTACACCAGTAAATACAGCTAGAAGGATGATTTCTCCCACTAAAAAACAGCATGATCCAAATGGTTTCCCTGACATTAGCGATGTGTCATCGATATCGATTAAAGAAGCTAGTAAGAGCACTGAGCAAGCTGTGCTTTTAAAAGGAAGAACTTCTACCCCTAAATTTCAAAACTCAAACTCCAATAGCGAGAGATCTACTACTACAAATACATCTGAAAGCATTCAAGATCCAAGTGATAGTTTAACTGTACCTAATGTATCACTTACAAAAACTAAATCTGATAATAAGCAACAAAATCTCTGACATAAAATGTTTTTTATATATAATTTCATTAGTTACTTATTTTTTGAGATATATATTATTATATTTGATGGGATATTTTTACAGGGGATTAATTGTAAAACAAAGGGAATATATTTTTAAATATTAAAATACATAAATCATTTTTATCTTGAATATATACAGCACATCAGCTGTGTGTATATTATAATGAATCTCTATTCATTATAAAAGTGCTCAATTTTGTTGCAGTTGTAATTTGAAATTAAAAAAAAACTATATATTTTCAAATAGCTTAAAAATCTAATAAGATGTCAAATAATTAGAATTTTTAGATATCTATTATATTAAATGTAACAATATGAAATGTTACATTGAATTAGCCTATTCAACCAATGCAATTTTTTTAATATCTTTATAATTTCTTCATAAAAAGTTGAAAGACTTTGTTTTTTATTTTGATAATTTAATTACAAAATAATTATACATAGAATTGAAATAATTATTTGTTCTATTTGTATAAAATTGACAATTATGAATTATGACTACCATGTTCAGATTGATAAAGTATAGTTTTTTTAATAATTTGAAACATGAAATCCTTTATATATTGAAATATTTTGTTTTATAAGAAATAAAATTTAAGACTGATTGCGAGAGCAATTTTAAATGTTAATAATTTATAGAAAATATACAATTTGTAAAATAGAGAGAAACTATAAGATAAATATATTTTTAAGAAACAGGAAAATATACATATTCTCTTTATAACATGTACATATTTTCTATTTTGTACTTTTTTTAAATACACATAAATGTTTCACGTGTACACACACACACACAATTAAATATACAATGTAAGAAATTTTATATAGAAAAAGAAAAATATTGACAGAATTTTATCCATTATCAACTATTTCAGTAATTCTTGCATAAAAATTGCATATATTTTTATTCTAAAATATAAAAACGAAAAAACAGAACCAAGTGTTTGTATAATATAAATTATACATATATATGCTAGACGTGTGTGTACGTGCACAAGAGATGATCTCAATTATGTGTGTGTATGTGTGAAGACGCGTTCGAAATTAAAATGATTTTAGACGCTATTGATTTAATTGAATTGAGCCACAAAAAAGGAAAGTACTTTCAATGTGTGTATGAAAATATTTCGTTATCGATGTAGGGAAATAATTATCCATACAAAATACACGCTCAAAAAATAGTCGTATCATGCATGCAACACACATCTATACATCAAAAAGTACGAAAAAAAAAACTTTCTAAATATATTTTCGCGCTTATTCGCTCTTGTATGGAAAGATCGATATGATCTTAAAGATTTTATTCTTTTATCTCTTATATATATATTTTTTTTCTTTTTTATTCTGATTAATTCACATATATATATGAAAAAATGTAAAAATTCACGTCGAGCAAGGAAGCAAATGTAAAACTAAGAAAAGGACGATTCGAAAATATTTTCAACAATAAAACAACGCAGATGGGGGAACAATACGCGGAATTAATTATAAAATAATTTATGCGTACATACCAACCATGATCGAGCATCAATTCCATCTTCGTTGCACTTTGACGAAACCATAAATGCCGGGGAGGAGGGAAGAGGATCTCACAAGTTACACACTAATACTAAAATCATGATGCACTACACTGTTAAACGATCGTACGCGTTTAATTCGTTAGAATGAACGTCTAACAACTTTGCAAGACATGATTTTCACACGCGAGATACACTTTTGGACGATAACGAACGCGAAAAACACGGAATAATTCGAATCATCATCGCGGCGCGTTTTAGGACTGAAGACTGAACGTTAATCGAGATGATATTGCGATTCTCGAAGATACATATCGACTGTAGAAAAAGTGTTGCCAACTGCCTGCAGCAAATTTTCTATCTATCATCGTTTCTATAAATTTTTCTTTCTATAGTAAACAACAAATTAATAAAAGTAATTCTATTATTGATAAAATTTCATTATTGATAGAATAATTACCAAATTAATTCGAATTTGATCAAACTGATTTTCGTAAATTCAAAAAATTTTAACACGTATATAAATGTGTGTAAAAATTTCATTAAAAAAAATTTATATAAACTAGAGAAAAATTATAAGATAAATATATTTCAAATATAAAATTGCACCGAATGTAATAAAATATATATCTCTAAAAATAAGTAAGAAATGAAATTATATATATATATAATAGAAGACCGTAATTCTCGAGCATATATGTAATTCTTATACACGACAATTTCAAATATAATTTCGCGCGAATACGATAATAATCGCGTGAACTGTGACTACCAATCAGGGAATCTATTGTATCTCGAAAGGAATAAAAATGTGAAAAGTGAGCAAATTTACTAGATGTTGACTAATGAAATTATAAATATTCTAGTAAATTTGCTCACTTTTCACATTTTCACTCCTTTCGAGATAATAGATCCCCAGGCTCCTTGTCTGGTTCTTTAATTGGTAGAGACTTTTTGTCAGAGTTTTGTTACCTAAAATAGCGCCTCTATATACGCTCCTTGTCATTTCCTTACCCATGTTCGCGCTGCTTCCACTACAGGTCGTCGATAGCGCTGGTTTCATTTGTAACAGCGAGTTACACGGGGAGGCCGAAGCGAGAGCGAAAGCGATACACTCAGTGGCGATAGTGTACACGAGAATGTTGTACATCGCGACAGTATACGTTTTTATTCACGAGTTCCTTGGGCTTTTTAACGCAATGATCGTTCCTCTCGTCGTGCCTGCCACGATCATCGAATAAAGATCGCCAGAGAGGAGCGCGCATCAGCCACGAGATTGTCACGAGTTTCGTTTAGTGCCAAAAGGTGACGAACGTCGAGCGATTCAATTCACAGGCTACGCGAGGGAGATCCGTATCGAGGAGAGAAAGAGAGAAAGAGAGCGAGAGAGAGAAAGAGAGAGAGAGAGCTGTCGATGTACAGCGTGTTCCGTTCGTCGGAACGTCAAACTTGATAACAATTCGACAGGCTCGCTGGACCTACTCGCACATAGCCGTCCCCCAGCGATCCGTTTTACAGCGGACTCGTTATTATCCCCGTACTTCAGTTATCATGTCGGTAAATTGGAAAACTACGAAACGGCATTTATTTGGATACAAATATTGAGTAGTCAAAGCGATGAATTTTATGTTGCAATTGCCGGATGTGATTTTAAAAGTACACGGTGAGTATAAAATGTGATTATTGTTTATTGTATCGAGGTGGACTAACAATCACAGAGGGATACAATATTTGTTATCTTTGCAAAAATGATCTCTAATGACAGGACGTTTGCGTTTATAACATGATTGGCTCCAACGATTGGATAGGAATCCTTTAAAATAAGCACGCATTTTATATATATTATTGTTTACGAATTAAGTTTTTAATCTTCTCTTAGGTACTGCAGAGAAAAAGCAATGTATCTTAGAGAGAGAACATAAATTAGAAACATCCTAGTTGTGTATATATTTAGCTTTAAATACGGAACAAACTTTCTTTAAGAATATTGACCTTGAGACAAATCTATCTATTCTTTTAGTATTTTTTATTTACAATTGTGTTTATGTAATTGTAACGTTTAAAATTTTATTTTTCTTTAAACAAAGCGTATTTTTTATTTACACAATTATTGTATTGAAATAAACTTTTTTTGCTATATATATATATACAAAATTTTTCCTCATTTTTAATTCAATAGATATGAAAACAATATTTAGATTATCAATATATTGATATCTTTTAAAACTTTTATGATCATTTTGATAGATTCAAAATTTTTGATATCGCAAAATTGTAAATAATAGAAAAATATTTAAAATTAAAAGACATGCATATATAATAATAACTAGATATGATTGACTAGATGTGGTTGATATATTTGACTTGAATAAAAATCAGGTTATGATAAATTTTGTGCTAATCTTAATTATTTCAGACTGAGACTGTATAAATACATTTATATATGGAATCAAAATGGCACGTAGACGTAAAACCGAAGTGAAAGCATCTGAAAAATCATCCCATAAATATGTACCTGTCCGTAAATCTAGCAGACAAATAGCTAAGAAACAATTGGAAGAGAAGAAAATAAATGGAAATATTTTGGAAACATCTTGCTCAAACAGTTTGGAAAACTCCAAGTCTACTAATGAAGACCATAGCAAAATTTTATCAAAGAAGAATCAAAATTCTCAGAAGAAGCATAGTAAACATAAAGGTACTTCTAGTAACAATGTAGTTGTAAATAAGGAAGATATTGTATACAATGCTTCTCAATACAAGCGGGACGCGGGTGAAAGTGACAGTCAAGATTATATAGATAATATAATTAATGAATCAGAGAAACTTAGTCCAGAGGATGTACGGCAGGTCGTTGTTGGTAATCCAAGCGATGAATCTCTGCCTACATCCGCATCAGTATCAACTGAAGTGGAGATGTGGTCGGAAGATGTCATAGAGGAAACAATAATCTGTGAAGAAATGGAAATGGAAGAAGATATTGCGGACAATAGTTACACTTTAGCAGAGGATAATGTTATGGTTGAACAAGTATTACTTGTTAACGAACCTAATTTAGAAGACAAGAATTTTGTGGAATTTACTGTGATACAAAATGAGGATGAATCCATGGTGATAACATCTAATACAGAAAATGTCTCGAACAATGAATATATTATTCGAGAAAATTTTAATAGTGTACATAGTAATGAATTGGAAGATTCCATATCAATTGCACATACAAATGAATCGACTTTGAGTGGAAATTGTAATATTGCAGACTCCAATATAGATAGACCTTATATCAATAAAAAGAAAATTGTTTTAGAAAATCGTGGTAAAAAACAAAAAAATGATAAAACAATTTATGATAAAATAAGAAAGGAAATCTCAGAATCAATATCTGATAAAGTTCGTATGTGTTCTATCAAAGAGAATTCTGATGTTTCTAGTGAGGAAATTGATTGCAAACAGGAAGGCAAACAGTCTAAAGTAACAA